ATTCATTTCACCTTGTCAGTTTTTTGCCCCACTTGTGATTAGACTCCTAAACCCAGATCTTATTTCTCCTTTAAGATGTCTAAATGACTTTTACACAGCTTTTAGACATCCAACCTAATAAGCAGAATTTTATTCCAAGCAGCATCTAAAAAACTGCTAAAGACATCTAGCTTCCTTGTAAGTCTCCATTTTTGTCAGGACCTATTCCAAGAGAACTGTATAGTATTACCAGCATGGATGGCTGCACACTGCTGGTGATCCTCAAGCCAACTTTGCTGGACCAGATATTGTGCGTTGGTATCTATCTCAACTCCCAAAACAAGTGCTCTACTCTCACCTTAGTAATGATCTGAAATCTCAGGGCAGCCAAAGGAAACACTACAAGGACACATTGAAGGCATACCTCAGAAAAACAGATGTCGATATTAAGAACTGGGAGGAGCTGGCAGTTGACCAACTCCAATGGAGTCACAACCTCAACCAAGTGACAGCCCATTTTGAGGTAAAGTGCCTTGCCCTCAAAGCACAGAACAGAGAATGAAGAACAGAAGAGAAATGCTAGCCTATGGCCTACACACCCCTGTGGAAAGACCTGCAACTTCTGCAGACAGATCTGTGGCTCAAGGATTGGACTCAGGACCCATCCAGGAGCCATGGTAGAGATCGAATTGAGGGACTGCTGACGACATTTGGGCTACAGTGCAAGCTTAGAGGTAAACCAGAGGAAACATCTATTTCCACCTAAAATCAGTTGTAATTCAATGACATCTGAGAAGTGCATAAACTCTGCAAACTCCCCAGTTCCTTATATACAGAAAAATTATGGAAGTAACTGAGCTTGTAATCCAATGAAAAAAGAAGTGGTGAGACACGTTGTCCATTCAGGTGTTTTCTCTGCCCACCCTCCCCTCACTTCAGCTTTTGCGCAGCAGCCAGAGAAGGAAATGTTGCATGACCTTACACCCAGTGTCTCAGCATCAGTAGGAGGAATGGAGGCATCTTCTGCCCTGCCCACCCCAGAACCACAGGCTGGGGCACTTCCCTGGCAAGTGAGAAATGTGGGCTCAAACCCTCTGTGGCTGAGAATCTAAAAACCACGTCTCCCATTTTCAGGGGCTAGTTCCAAAATAGGATACTGAGAAAAAATGGGCTGGCAATCCTCACCCACCATCTCTTACTGAAATGAGTGCTGCTGTCTAATGTCCCTGGCAAATGTTATTTCCATCAAGCAACAGGTTTAATATCACTTGATGGAAACTGTTGTACCATGTGACCTGCTTCACATTCAGAGGACAAGGTATTGAAAAGGGAAAAAAAAAACATCTTGAGAATTTGCTCTGCCAGTGCTTGCCAGCAAAGGGAGTTAGAGACCTGCTGGCAGGGGCCATCAGTCCTCTCTTGAGCTGTGCTGGAAATGAAGTCAGCTGGGCTCCCCATGGTAAAGAAGCCGCTACCCACAACTTCCATGTGTGAATTCCTCAGTGCAGTGAAACCGCCTGTTGGAGTTGATTTCTATTAAGTCTGGAGTAGCTTGCAGGCTCAAACTCTTCAGGGACCTTATAAAGTGCTTTTGTGTATGGGCTAGTCCTGCCAGAAGCTTTCTGAACAAATTCCCTCCCCAATCTCTCCGTGTCAGATGAAGCATGTTACTTGAGCATATGTTTAAACCCTGGCTTTCACAAAGAGGTGCTGAAGGCTTCTTAAACAAGCAGCCTTGAAGGCTGGTTCAAGAAAGGAAGCAGAGGCATCTACTGCTACTGTGCCCTGGGGCCTCAGCGTTAAGCAGGAGTCAAAGAGAGTGCCCTTGGTGTGATAATTACTTTGTAATTTATTGTGTAATTAACCAGTTAATTGCACAATAGATGCAATGTATGTGAAGAGCCTACAACTGACACACACTGATTCAGCTTCACAGCTCCCCTCTATGTGAGATAGATTCCAACTCGGGGGCGGGCAATTATTTTGGGTGAAGGGCCGCATACTGAGTTTTGGCAGGCCATCGAGGGCCGCATGACAGGCAGTCAGGGGCAGATAAATATTAATTTTCTAAAATTTTTAGGGGCCCTGTGGGCCAGACAGAATGGGCAGGTGGGCCGTATCTGGCTTGCGGGCTGTATTTTGCCCACCCCTGTTCCAGCTAGATATCTCCCCTTTGAAATTATCCACAGCCAAAATGGGAGAATTATGCATCCTCACAGAGAGAAACAGGATCGGAGGTGCTGGTATATTCACTAAGGAAACAAGAAAACTATCAGTCACCCTCGACAAATTCCTGAGTCAAGATATTTTCAGTTTTTAGTTTCAAAGAAAAATTGTGAGACTTTTTTGGGGTATATCTTCCAAACATAAAAAAAACGGGTTGAAATTGGGATAAAAAGAAGAAAAGGAAAAAAAGCTGGTTTAAATTGAAGAAAATAAAAAAATTTGGGGGGGGTAGGCGGGAGGTGGAGGGGAAACCCGCCCCCCTCCATCCCAGCACTGGCCCTGGCTGCCTTCCCTGCACCGGCCCCAATCCCAGCCCCGCACCACCTAGGGGGCCCAGAGCTGGGGGGCCGGGGTGGGGCCAGCCTCGGCTGTGCTGCAAGGCCAGACAGGATGGAGCCCCCAGGACCCCTGAGCCCGCTGCGCCAGGTACTGCCCAACTGGGGCGGGGGATGGAGCTGCAGCTTGTTCAGGGAGGGGATGGTGGCTCCCGCCACTGCACAGGTCCCAGGGGGTACAGGGATGTGTGAGAAACATGTGTAAATCAGTAAAAACTGAGTAACTTCAATTTAAAAAAATCAGGTAATTTATCAGTGAAACTCAGTAAAAAATGAAAATGCGAAACAGTAGACATATACTACTGAGGCTAGCAGAAGGAAAGACCTAGACATCCTAAAGGCAGCATGGGATCTGGACCCTAGTCTATTTCTATATCCACAACTGAACTTCTTCACTTAAATTATAAAACAAGGTTTCTCAAGGTACAAACATAAAATACAAAAAATATTTTTACATTCACAAAAAGCCAAAAACACCAAACCAAACCAAAACCCAAAGAAAGACATTTCAATTCTTACAGTTTAGACCTAAAGCATGTATTTTGCATCAGAAATGTTTTACAAAACCAAACGTTTATAGAAGTATTACCAAATAATGTTTTCTGTAAAGTAGTTTGATTGGATTTCAACACTCCACTTAAATATATGCAAATCTCAGCATCAGCATGCCAGAGTACTAATGAGGACCTGACAGTATAGCAAGAGAAACTGGGAATCTATGGTCATTGAATATAGTGATGAAGTAAATAGAAGATACAAATGGTAAAATGGTTATCTGAACAAAAATTAGCACTGTAGACATTTAACAACAAGGATTTTTTTTTAAATTTAAAATGACAGTGTCCTGTCAACCAGGCATTCTGCCCAAGCATACATTGTACATTCAGTATTTCAAGTTTTCATTTGTATAATATATTGCATCTTCTTCATACAAAGTATTTTACAACTGCTGTACTAATAAACATTTCCTTCACAACCATGTGAATAGAGAATTTGAAATTCTAAAAATTGAGGGACTCAGATACAAATGAAGAATATATATGCACTAGCAAACTTATATGTTCCTTATTACAGTTGGATTAGGAAATTTCTACAGTGTGTTTAGAATACTAATAGTAATATGAATTTATATTAAGTGAACAGATCAAAACTGGTTTGAAACTTAACTGAAATGTAGTGACAGCTCTTCGTGCTCCCTCTAGTTCAAAGGGCAGACAAGCAGAACTACTTTTAAAATTAGGAACAAAAACTTTTTTTTTCCTGCAGAGATTTAACTGAAAAAGAGCAAAACCAGCTCCTACTCTTGAACTATTATATCTATCTCATTAGCTACCTTTTTTACTCAACAAACAAAATGCTGAAAATGAGCAGTGGGTCTCATCCAGGGTGTCAATGGCACCCTGGGGTTCCTTGAGAACTTTTCAAGGGCACTTTGGGGTGCCATGCTATATTAGTACTGTTAGATGTACAAATATTAGTCACAAGATCAACCCAGAGATTTGAAATAGAAATTCAGTGTTAATAAGATTCTGACCTGTTGCAAAGAAGAAATGACTTGTTACAAAGAATTCTTTGCCACAGAAGAATTTCTATTATATTTCTGTAATCAGAAATGAGTGAGAATTAAAACCAGGCATTTTTCAAAGGGTGCCTTGAGTGTAAAAAGGGGTTTCTCAAGTCTAAAAAAGTTGACACACACTGAAGGACACAATTTTAGATGTAAGCAGATTTTTTAAAAAAGTTAAACATAATTAGACAATACACATGTATGAAAGTTCTATGATAATTTTGTGGGTGTCTCCTATTTTTTCTTCCCTTTTCTTTTTTAAATGTTCTCATCTCCCTCACTGATGAATGAAGGACTCACAGAAATGAGAATATTGACTAATATATAAAGTAATCTGAAAAAAACCCAGAAAAAATATTCTCTCTCATCTTTTAGTTATAATAATCATGTTGGTTACGTATAATAAAAGAAAAACACATTTAGACAATTGTTCAATTCTTAAGCTGATGGCAGACCCTTTAACATGAAACATTTACTTTAAACAGTTTTTAGGCAAAACAAATATTACAAGTCTACCTGGAACACAGATGTTTTAGTTTGACATTTTCTAAGAAGCAGCTCAAGTTTTAAGATGCATCTACCATAACAACACAGTGTAACAGAAGCATACACCTATAAACTAGGACGTTCAAATAATAATTAGGATAAATTCCTTTAGACTAAGCCAGTTTCTTCTCTATTTATCTTTCATTTTAAAATCTGAAGGAAAAGCATGACAGTATAGAGGTAGATGTTCATAGTGTGAGAGCAATTTCTATTAGACGGTATTGTGCACTTTTTTGTCTGATTTGAGGAAGCTGACCAAAGATGCAAGGAACAGCAGAAACTTATTAACAAAAGTGAATATTGATATATTGAAACAAATAACTTGGCATACACAAAACCACACACACCTGTTGCCATGCGGCTTTCTGCAAAAGCCACACTGCTTGCTGGGAACCCAAGCATATTTACTTTCGCTTGAAGAGAGATGTTCTGAGCCTTCCCGTTTGACAGTAGAGATGTTATCTGGAATGAATAATGGGGGTTCATCAAGTGAAAGGCTTTTACTGCTTCTTCTCTGACGAGGCTGAAGATTCTTCTCAATTTTTTTAAATTTCAGTTTTTCTCTTTCATCCTCCTTTAAATGTTCTGTACCAGTAGGATCTTTTGTCTCACTCTCTTCCTTTACAGAACTATTTGTTTTAAGTGCAGTTGCAAGCTGATGTTTTTGTGCTTGTTTCTGGTTAAGATGTAGCAAATGCCCAGACAATGAATGCACAGATGATGAGACAGCATGAGGGACTTCTTTTGAAAAACTCTGATGAGTAGGAGACCTGTCACTCACTCGGTGAGTTGATGATTTTTGCACCTGAACAAGGTTTGGGATTCGTGGCACTTTTTTCACCAACGTGGGCATCTGCTTCTTTGTTGCAACTCCTGATGCACAGCTTTGTGTTTTTGCATCCTTATCAGCTTGTTTTTTCCTCATTTTAATTGGGTGACTTGCTGGCTCATCTGCATTCCGTTTCAGGCTTACCAAAGAAGTGGTAAAACCTGGAACGTTGGTACCAATTCTCGTTTTTGAATGCATTTCTTGTCTTGCAACTGATTTTTGTTGAGCTCCTACAGCCAAAAGCTGTTTAGATTGTACCAAAGATTTATTGTGTTTTGGCTTTATATTTTTTTGACATTTTGATGAAATGTTAATCAACTTCCTATCATCCTGAATCTTTGATGTCTCATGGCTTTCCACTTTAATATTGCTGATCTGCTGCTGTACATTTTGGTTTGTATGATCATGAATGCTGCTTTCTGTAACACTATTTCCCTGCTCAACAGAAGCAGCATCTTCATTTTTCAAGTCTGTTTTATGATATTCTGTAGTTTCCCAGTATTTGCTAGTATTAATATTTTTGTCTGTCTCTTTAGGGTCTTCTACAGACTGTGTTTTACATTCTTTTAATGACATTACATTTTTACCAGCAATTTCTACATCGGTTTGTGAACCTAACCTACATTCAATCTGCTTCTCTCCACAGCTGGCTGTAATTGAAAGGGTCTCATGCATTTCATTTGGATTCACACAAGCCACTGTACCAGACAGAGCTTCAGCTATTCCAGTTATCTTGCTTTGGTCCTTTTCTTTATTTTTTCCCTCCACTTCCTCCGCTTTGTATTCAGTTACTTTTTCAGAAGAGGTTTCAGAAACCGCCTTATCATCCTTAGTTTCATTTATTTCATTTTTAACTTTATCACCTTTATTATTTGCAGAGGTTGAAAAACCTGGTCCAGCGTTCCCAGATTCAGTATTAATACTTTCCGGTTTGCTCTTTGTTTCTTCAGAAGAAGAACAATTGTCCAAAAAATGAGAACCACTTAGGTCACGGGATGTTTCATCCACTTTTTCCTGCTTGGCAGCTTCAGGTTTTACTTCATCCATCTTTTCATGACAAGTGGACCATTCTGAACTATGTGGAGAAGCTGATGTCTCTGACTGTCCAGATCGTCTACCACTACGCCTAATCTCTTTAGAATGTTCTAGCTTTAGTGGTGTATCAACTTCTGCCTCTTTAGTTTGACCTTTGTCTTGTGGCTTCAGTCCTCCCTTTTGAGCAGATCCACATTTTACAGCTGTTTTCTTGGTATTAGCAAGAGGTGCAATGTTTGAACGCTTGGCTATAGTGCTTTGCCGCAAACTTCGCACTGGTTCTATTAAAGGAAAAAGAAAATCTCTTAGCTATGCTTCAGTCCTCTTTTTGCAAAAATAAAACTAGATTACAGCAGAAGTACCATATTTAATTGCATCCATGACAAGGTTTTTCCCCCTTTCAACATAGGGGGGAAAAAGGTCCTCGTCTCTGATCCAAGTATAAGCGGGGGAGGGGGGACACAACTCTGACCCTGATCCAGGAGTCAGAACTTCCCCCACCAGCCACAACATGCCCACAGCAGCCTCTGCTCCCTGCCTCCCCCTTCTGATGCTGCTTACCAACCCATCGCAGCAATGCTGCTCCCCCATGCTGCTGCTTACCATCCTACCCCCACTAAGGACAGAGCACAGCCCATATGCTGTCTCCAGCCCCCAACGAGTTAGGCAGCAAAGGCAGGGCAGTGGCAGTAGCAGCATCTCTGGCCCTGGCTCCAAGGTAGGGTTGCCACCCTCAAGACCTGCTGCTGCACATCTGGGTGGGGGCTAGAGCCAGCATGTACTCTAAGCCAGAGCAGGGCCCCAGCCAGAACCAAAAATGTGATGAGAAGGTAAGCATCAACAGACAGCCAGCAGGGGAGGCAAATGGTGAAGGGAACAGGTGCTAGGGGATGCAGGCATCACAGAGGGAGGCAGGTGGTAAGGGACTGGAGGGGGGGAGGAAAGCACATAGGCACCGCTGAGGGAGGCAGGTGGCAAGGACAGGCACCACAAGGGGTGGGACAGACATGGAGCATGCAAGCACCAGGGGTGGGGGGAGCAGGCACTAGTGGGGTAAATGGTGGTGGTGGGGAACAGACAACAAGGGGCAGGGGTCAAGACACTTAACTCAATCACCACTGGCCCTTCACCACCTGCCCACTGCTGCTGCTTGCCCCGCTGCAGTGGGGGAAGGGAGGAACACAAATTTTAACAACCCTCCAAAATTAGATTCTGTATGAGGAAAGTTATAACAAATTATAAATTCTCCACATTTAGAATTTAATTACTGGGAGGTCATCTTAAATCTGAAGTAATTTTTGGATTCGGGTAAATACGGTAACTCAACATTTGGCTCGTTAAACACCAAGACGCTATTTCTTCATCTAGTTACTGATCTCAAAAAGGTCATCTAAAATTTAAAACCACCAGTTTGCCTTCCTATTTCCCATTGACACTATTTGAAATCAGATATTAAGATTGCACATTGTAATGGCCATGCAAGTTCTGGGTAGCAAATGAGAAACCAAAACAGCTTTAAACACTACAACACCTGAGATAGGTAGGCCATTTCTTAATTGCTGTCTTATCTTCTACATGAAATAAGCAACATACAAAAAATACATCAGTACAAACCCCACATAATAGGCAGTTAAACTTCCATACATTTGGGGGATTCTTAAAATATGAAATCTGACATCTTTATAAACACCCATTCTGTTCAACATCCTCTAAACAGCTAATATGAACTCCAATACCTTTACAAGTTGAGAAACAAAGTATTTTAGTACTCCAAGCAAAAAAAGGCTCTCCCAGATTGTAGCCAAGTTTCTCATTTAACTTACAACTTTTAACTATTTGGCTTCCCAATAGTATATCTTTCCTTCCAAAATATGTAAATGTAAGAGAAAAAAATTACTAAAGCAAATAGCTACCTGACAGAGACACTAGGAAGATTAATAGGGTGCCGACAGACATAACGCTTGAACCATTTCAAGAATGTCTCTGGTTGGGAACCAGTTTATAACCGCCTCTGGACAGAAGTGTCCACACAAACCAAACTGACATCTTTTAGGGATTGCACTGCTAGTGAAACACCACCACAGAACGGCAGAATACGTAGAACATGATGGCTCCTAGGGGTCAGTGCCCAGAGTTTCCCTAGGATTCCCTTTGAAGCGAAGAAAGCCTGGATTGGCTAGACATCAAGAAAGACAATGATATATGATTATCCCCAATTTCAATTTTTATCTAAATGCTTTTGAAAAGGGGGAGCACAAAAAAACTGATTGAGGTTAGTAAAGAACACTAATTATTTACCAAAATAAGTGTGGTTCACCAGATGCACAGGTCTATATGGGAGGGAAGAGCCTGGACCCTTAACAGGAAATGGACCCCACTCAGCAAGGCCCCAGCCTCATTTGGGGCAGGAGCATGGTGGTGGACGGAAAGACTGCCAGAAGGTAAAGGGCTATAGGGCCCTTGCTTGTGGTACCTGGGGATGGCATGCTCTACATCATCCTGTCCCCCCATCCTCCAAACTAATTTTTATGACATCTGCACTGGAAAGCATTTTCTAAATTTCACCTCCCTGCTACAGACCCTAGGCAGTGGGATCCAAAGCTCAGTTGGGGCAGAGGGTGTTAGTGGAAGGGAAGATAGGTGCTTAGTGGTGCCATATGGCCCCCTAACTGAGGCTCCTGGGGGACTGGGTGCTCTGCCCCCTTCCCCAGAAACTCCACAGCTTTTCAACCCTGCCCTGAAAACCATCTGTCAAATTTCACCACCCTGCAGCTGCAGACCCCAGGTTCATTTGAGCTGGAGAGTTGGACTGGAAGGATGGCCAGGTGCTGAGGGAGCTGTGTAGCCCCCTGCTCATGGTCCCTAGAGCAGTGGGGGCACCAGGGGACCCCAAGAACTCTCCAAATTTTCCAACCCCTGCTCTGGTTTTTGGGAAGGACTTTTTACCCTCTGCTTCTCAGCTGTCACTGCTGCTTTCCCCACCCAACCCACGGCCCATGCCTCAATTTCCCTGCATGTCTAGTCCATGTCTCTACTTGCTTTCATACTACCAACCTCTGGGTGGTGGTATCCAGAGTGGGGTTGACCAGGTATGCATGTGTGGAGGTGGGAGGGAGCAGTTAGCGGGGGGTGGGGGAGGGGATGGGGCCTGCTTCTTCATTCCAGGTACTGATTGCTTTGAGACTTCTCAGTCTCTGTCTCACACTGTAGCTTTAAAGGGACTTTCCCTAGAACTCTGGTCGAGTACCTTGCATTGGCAGCAATTTCATAGAGATGCGCACATGCAGGGTAGAACCTGTGGGGCAGGGCTGGCTGCAAAAATGCAGCACAGATGGCAACCAACAATTAGTGGGCTAATTCACTTCTCACTGAGCATCGAATTGACAGTCATTCTGTTCTATTAAGTGCCCACTGTGCAATGGCCCTGTTAATCCCCCCCAATACCCAGAAATCAACAGGCGTTTACGGTTACAGGAACAACCCCTCAATCATCACAACAGGGTCACAAAGCTCCCTCCACACCCCACCACCAGCACCTGGAAATCCCCGCAGTCCCACCCCCACCCCAAATGAACCTGGGACCCCACAGCTACAGGGTCCATAGCAGGAAGGTGGAACTGATTAAATAGTTTGCAGAGAAAGTGTTGGAAAGCAGTGGCACATAACAATGAACTGGTTCACGGATGACTAGCTCAAAATAGTATTTGAATTCCCCAGTGTGCTTTTGGAACGATCCAGGGATTTTAAACTGCTCTTAAGTGGCCAGTACATGTAGACTCTTGGGGTTGGAAGTGTATTTAGAATGCTCTAAGCATTATGTCTGTCCACACCTTAGTGCCTGTAAACTATGTTGAAATCTAAGATCTTTGGGTGAAAGACTTCTACAAATTCAAATTATTAACATGATAACCTAATTTAAAATTCTATAACAAAAAAAAAACCCAACAAAGAAAAAAATGCATCATAAAGACTGAACATAAAGACCTCTGCTATCCTGACTGGCTATTAAACCAAGTTATGAAAAATTATTTTAATCTACTGTTGAACATGCCTTTGCTAATCTCACGGACAGTTTAAAAATGAAACTCAGACTTTAGTTGCCTCAACTATGACTCTCTTTAAGAGCTCTAACACCAAGTCACTTAATGGTTTTACAGGAGAAAAACAAACTCTGCACAATTTTTTAGTACTTCAATGAAGAAATATTTACACCAAATTGGTCTGAAAACTCCAATGAAGTCAATATTTTACCTTCAATACTGTTTGAATATTCAAAATAATTCTACTAATGAGTATTTCACAATTCTAGAGGCTGTATTTTTCTGACTGCCTAACTTGGGTCAAATTAATCCCAATATCACTTTCTTCAATAAAATAATCTGAATAACCAAGTTACTGGGAGATTACAGGCTGTCACCAATTGTTCATTTCTAATTTTTATAAAATCATTAAATATTTACAACATTAATGCTGTAAAATAGTTCCAGTTCGAGGATTTTTATTATATGTCATACTAGTTAACATTTACCTAAAGTTTAAAAAGAGACTGAAATTGTAAACAAATATCCCTACAATGTGCAAATTTGAATATTATCTGAATTATCACCTTGTGCCATTAAACGTGGTGACTTTCTTGGTGATCTCACTGAAGTTTCTTCCAACCGTTTCCTCAAATTCCTGTTAGGTAAAATTAGCTCATCTTCATCAATGGTATCATTACCACGTTCTTTAACCCCTTCTTCATCCATAATATCATCAAGACCAATAACTGAAAAATAACAAAAGCAAAAAAAGAGCCTAAAACTTAAAAGTATCTAAAAATGTTTGGGTTATAAGAGATTGTGAAGAAGGCAGGGACGAAAGAAGGGGAAGGCCAAATAAAAATAAAATGTATAATTTGAGCACAAACAAAAGCTAAAATAAGGAAGTGCAAGACAGAAAATTCCCCATGTGAAGCAGTTTCAGCGTAGAAGAAGCTATCACCCAAAGTTTAAAATTTCTGTAGATGGTCCTTGTCAAAAAGTCATTGTTGCTTTTCAGTGACTCACATTTTTAATGACTTTTGCCACAGGAAGGTCCCCAGCCTTAGAGGATCAGCTGTCCCTCACTGTCCCTTCCCACCTATGAAAAATTGAAGAAAGGTGAACAGTAGAAAGAGCTGATCCCAAAATGCAGAAAGTTTAAGTCTCATTTTTAGTGTAGGACAAGGTTTTTAAATTGTAAATCCCAAGCATGCTACATACCTGCATCTGCAATTCAGAATATTACTGAGTGCAGTATGCACTATTCTTCCAGCCAGTGACTGACAACAAAATTTTTGTCATATTCCTATCTCCCACTAACCTGAGAAGGATCCCAGAGGTTGCTCCTGAAAATAGGTTTCCTAAGAGGCAGTCAAGCCACTGCACCGGCCATTCTCCTCACTTTCTCTAAGTATGGTTCTGCAAGGGTAGCCTCTCCTATCCCAAGATCCTATGTGTGATTAATGAATCCTGGTCCCTGTGGGATGCGAAATCTGTGAGATTGAAGCCAAGTACCCAAGCGACTTTGTAAAACACGCAGGAGTTGAAAAATACAGCACAAAACCAGACAACTGATATGGCTGCCCAAACAATGTAAGGCTATCTAAATAATTTCAAGACAGACTAAACTGTGCAACAGAAACATGGTCCCCAAAAATTTCTGACAACTGCTTTGTTATAGAAAATAACAATTATAAAGCAATGCATTTGTCTAGGAAATTGGAACAAGAAATCATTAATGAGACTTAAAAATCAACCTTAGAATTTTTAGACTGTCTCATCAAAAAAATTTGTCAACTCCTGTTCTTTTTTAACTCCATTTTTTTCTCTTGGCAATATTAATGACAGGAAAACTTACAAAATCTGTGAAGAATCATGTAGCATTGAGTATCCTCTTAAAGTATAAATATAAAAGAATAAACTTCAAGTTTCTGATATAGCCAAAGGAACAGTCCCATCCTTAATAATTCTACCATAAAAAGCTAAAACTGGTTTAAACAGTAAACCAGTTAGTTAAACAATAAACCAGCTTAGTTAAACAGTTTTTAAAGAGCCTTGAGGAGAACTATCCTTAGTACAATGTAAACAAGTGGTTCCCAATTTTACTGGACCAATGGACCACACACAGATGTCCCAATTTTGCACAGATCACCAGTTTGAAAATCTCTAGTGTAAACCAAAAATCTGGAAATGGCCCTGGAAAAGCTTACCATTCAAATTTAGATTTAAACTTCATTCTGAACAATGGGGAGCAGACAATAATCAAAAGCTACCTTAAGAATTTCCAGAACTGACAGCGACTCACTTTCAGTGATTGTTAAGAAATTTACAAGTAACCAATTCGTTTTTTGCTACTACATTTTAGGCTTCAGATTGATGGAACATCTTTCTGCAAACCACTATCAGCTTTCCATTCTAAAACCCTAGACCTATATACATTCTAACTGTCTTCATTTAAAGATAATTAGTTTGGGTTTTTTCAACACACCTGTAATAAAAGACCGATAACGCCAGCTGTACGCATTGGAATTATTATACAAATAAGTCTACACTATTACTACACACCTAGACATTTTCATGTATATACACACACACACACACACACACACACACACAATATTATATATATCTATATATATATATATGCATGAACACATGCACGCACATCCCCCCCCATTTATTTATTTTTTAATTTTTTTACAGGTAACAGGTAAAATTAGCATTAGAAATGGATTCAATGACAACAGCAACACCTTCCAGTCCTCTTT